TCGAACTTGGGATCTCATGCCTTCTAGGCAGGCAGTAGCACCACTGAGCTAAATCCCTGGCCCTCCAACTGTTTCTTGATGGAAACTTAAGGAGAGTAGGAATTCTTCACACAGATGATGTGAATATGCTTCTTTTGGTTTGATTGTCATAAATCAAGTGACCACAAATGTGCTTTTTAGTGAAAAAAGGAGGCTGATTACTTTGAATGTGACCCATGTGCAGCTACAGTAATACACATTTAACATTACCAAGTCGGCTTCTGTGTGAGTTCAATAGTTCAGGGATGAATGGAAGTTTGCCGAATGCCTAGATGGGCCATGCTGTAGCACGGTCCCTTTTCACAGCCTCCCCGCTGCAGCTTGGAGCCTCACAGGTCCTTTTACTGGGCAAGAAAGCGGGCAAGGACTGAGCAAGTTGGCCATGTCCCCAGTTTTCTGAGCTCCCTCACTCAGGCCCGTGAGCGCTTTCCCTTCCTGGCCATAAAGAGAAATTGTATCTCGGGGTGACCTGTGCACGTGCGCTCACACTCACAGAGGCGCCACCGAAGTCTCACTCACCCCCAGCACGTGCGGCTAACACGGTGCATGAAGTAACTGTCATTACGGCTCACGGTCCTTCCTCCTTCCTCAGTGTTTATGAGCCTTTCCAAAGGCCTTTCTAGGTAGTGCTCCACAATTCAGCAGAAAACCTCCACACACATGAGGTTCCTTTCACTTATTTTGCAATTCTTTATAAAGCGGCAACTCAAAACCAACAAAGAGAACAGTGTTCTGGAAGGATCGTGCAGTTGCTGGACACATAGCCAGGCCTTCTGCAGGCCGCCTGATGCAGGAACTGGCTGTGCTGGGCTTCTGGGGAGGGCGTTCAGACCTCAGCACCAGGGCAGGAGCTCACCAGGGAGCTGCAGGAGAGCAGGAAACTGGCTCCCGCCTTCCCCAATGGGGCTCAGAGAGAGCTTCTGCAGGGGCCAGGACCGCTGTCCACAGGAGCACGCGGCCTCACCGCACTGTGGTAAGGAGTGAGCCTTGAGCAGGCTGGTCCCTCCTGAGCGCCTTCCGCACAGCCCGGAGAATGTCTGGGATTTCCAGGTACAGCTGGAGTGCTGAATGATAGTTCAAAGCAAGGGCCGCTTTGCAGTGTCAAATTTAGGATGAAGCGCAAAGGAGGAGCTGTTATTATTTTGTTTGTTTTTAAACATATTGCTATAGATCAAATCCAGTGGTTTTTCCTTGAGCTTCATCCCCCTCACTTTATTTATTTATTTGAGTTGGCATCTTGTTAAGCCATTAAGGTGCCACTCCTCCTGCCTCAGTCTCCTGGCATGCTGGGATTACTGCACACCCATGTCTTGTAAATGGCACACAGAATTTCACCTTAAGTCATTCATGGGTTATGGCACCCACTGCTTGAGAAGGTGTCACACAACCATGGGCATTTCAGTGCCTGTACACGCATTCAGTACACACTTCCACGCAGGCTGAGAGATGCAGGAATGTGCCAGGGCATGGCAGGGCCTTTCCTGCGCTCCCTGGCCTCCTCTCTCTGCCTCTTTCCTGCTCCTTATCCTCCTCCCCGATGGTCTCCTGTGCTCTTGCCTCTCGGGAGGCACCAGGCAGGATTAGATTGTGGTACGCTGGCAATGGCCACGCCCCCGAGAGCCTGCATCCGGAGCTTAGGCTCAGTGCTCCACAGGTCCTAAGACATAGGGAGGGTCGAGCCTGGATGTCCCAGGGAAAATGCCCCTCACTTCCTGTGGAGTCATGCCACGGATGGGCTGGACCTCCCACGGGGCTCAGCTCTCTGCCACCCAAGGCAATAGCAGTGGGAGCACTGAGCCAGCTCTCTGGAGTAGCTTTTATATAAACCCTGACAGTAACTATCTGGCACACCATCCACCAACAACCCAGACTGCTCCAACTCTTCCCTGTGAAAATGCCATTGCCTTTGTCTCTGGGTTTTCTGCATTTCCTTGTGTCTCCTCAAATGCCCTCTGACGGTCCGTAAATAGCAGCAACAGCACCCTTGGGTGCTGTGATATCCTTCTTGGATGTTCCTCTGATGTAGTTTCAATACTCTGCCCAGAATAAAGTACAGATGATGCAGGGCCTTCTAGGGGGATACCCAGAAGTTCACAGCAGGAGACTCTGGAAGTACCGGGTGTGGCTCAGAGATGGTGAATGTTTCAAATAAAAATAACTATTGCAGTATGAGACACATTGCTATCAAGCATTAAACCCCCTCAGTGATGCCCTTTGAACACACTCATCCTGTCTTCCTTGTCACTCTCTGAAGCCGCTCGGGAAATCTACTTTCTTGTGTATCTTTAGGAGAGAGATAATCAACCCTCATGAACCCTGCTGAGGAGTGATGTCCAACAGAAAGATGGCCTGTCCAAGCGTGGCCTTGAGTCCTTGTCCACCTTGTTCACCAGATCAGGAACCATGTGACTTTGGGTTCTTCCCAAAGTCAAAATGACCACAAAAGGGAAAATCTGGAATACAGGCAGCCAGGACAGTGTAACAAAAGACTCAGGAAAGAGGACTCCAGAACTGCTTCCGAAAGTGCCAAGAGCCACAGGACTCAAAGTGAAGGGAATATTCTGAGCAGTATTCAGGGCAGTGTCTTTTACTCTAACTTTTTATTATTTTTTTTTAATTTTTTGGAACCAAGGATTGAACTCAGGTCCTTGCGCTTGCAAGGGAGGCCACCGAACCGCTGAGCTAAATCCCTAGCCCTTACTCTAACTTTTTTTAGATTCACCATTCTTGGTATTTTTGATCACACCAGGTACATTTTGCTCCTATGGTCAGGGCAGTAGAAGGCTGGCTTCACAGGGACCCAGGCTCCAGACCGCCACCCTCTTCTGGTCTCTTGTACACGATGCAGCTGTCTCCTGCTTTGCTATAGAGCAGGGCGGAGGCAGAATCCTCTGTTCCCCAAGCTGTATGGTCTAAGGTGCTCAATCCCAGCTCATTCTGCAAGGCATGCACTGTGCTGTTCATGCTTTCCTCCTCTTCATCCTGAGGCAAAGGAGGAAACCTGGCCAAGAACCGTGGCAGCACGAGGTGTCTTCCAGGCCAGCCAACAGAGGGGACACTGGATTCTGGGGCTCATGTGTGGTTATAACAGCTATGTGCTCGCTGATATATTACACTGTGCTTTATTATTATATTACTGGAGGTGAAGAACGAAACAGAAACTGTGAACAGACTTCCTATCCTTGTTTCCACAAAATAAACAGAAACAAGCTGTATATTTACATGAGTGAAATGAGCAGGTGAGATTAGTTTCTACGGCCCACACTTGACCTTTAGAATATATTTTTTAAAGCATCACATGAACAGCAAAATACTTCACAACTGCACAGTGCAAGAAGAGAAGCGCGGAGGCTGGTGCAGTGCTGATGAAATGTCCAAGGATATTTCTGCTCTGAGGTTTCATGCCGTGTATGTTGATGGGCCAGTGAATTCTGCTGCAAAAATAATCGGGGAGGTGAAAAGATTACAGCACTTTGCTAGTTAATGTTCTCAGATTGTTCCAAAAGGAGGGATCTTCTAAACAGACATAAGAAAGATATGAAATACAAAATTTTCTGGTTCTTAAATTTTAAAAAATACTACTTTTAAATAAATATTGTGTATATATGTATATCTGAAGCACAGTTAATAACTTTGAACTAGGCTTCAAATTAGTCTTTAAGTCACGAATAATCAGTGTTCGTGCTAGCAGGACAGGGGCTCTGTGGGACCCAGAGTTTACCCCAACCTCACATGCACGTGTCCGGGTCCACTGTGTATAACCATGGCTCGGGAAGTAGGGGTGAGCTGGGGCCTGTGAGCCAGAAGGTGGACAGGAGGCTTTGGGTGAAGATCTGCTTGGATTCCAGGTGAAAGGGAAAAGAAGATGTGAAATCCGGAATGCTAGATATGAACCCATTCCTGCACGTGTAAAGAAGCTGCGTATGTGTAAAAATATGCATTAGAAATAATTTAAAGTGTCTTGTTTGCTTTAAGATAACTTTCTAAAAGTGAATGACCCCCCAAATCTTGGGGTGTGGTTCTTCAGTTTCCATGGCAACCACCACTTTTCCTCCTTCTCACTGCCCCGTGAGAGGAAGGGTTCTAGGAGGAAGGGGGGCATCTGCTACGCTTCAGGGCATTTTTAACTGACTGATGCTTTACGTGCACAGGAGGACACATCCTTTCACCAGACACCAGAAGTCCATGTGCGTTCAGGTGATGGCAAAGTGATAAAGACTTGCTCAGAAGCCGGTCAACATAAGGAATCAGAAAGGAGAAGGCTTGTCTCACTTTGGACTCGGGGTAAATACACTTCGCAATGTGTTCACAGAATGCGCTGAGCAGTTGGGATCTGGATTTCCCTTCCGCTAAGTCTGTGCTGGCTGCAGCGGGTCTCTTTCCTGGGCCAGCAGACTGAGTGTACGCGACCCAGTGCCCTCCCGCAAGCCCCTCTCGCTGCCCCATGTGGGCCAATGGGCATCCGTTCTAAAAACAAGGACACGCAACTACCTGCATGACAATCAGCTAATCATTTTACTGCCTCGTAGGCAACTCATATGTACCTGAGGAGCACAAAAACCCATAGCCCGAGATGCTGCACAGGAGGGCAGCTCGGAGCGGTCAGCCACTGGACACGGCACGGGTCAGCTACTTACTCTCGTAGTGGATGAGGAAGCCCACACTGGAGCGGCTGCTGTCGGTGCTGAACAGCAGGTACATGTAGTTGCCGGTACTGATGAGGAACTGGGGTGCCTGCGTGCCGTGGTACTCCCCGATCAGGGGCGCGGAGCCGGCAGGGCCGTCCCTGACCTCCAGGGTGTCGTAGTTGACCTCTGTCTGGAACCTGCAAGGGTGTATGTGTCAGAAGAGGCGGCTGCATGAGCTCACAGGCCACACTTTCCGGAAGTGTCCTCCAGGGAGTGTGAACAAAATGTTTACAATTCCAACCGTGACCTTGGGGATGCATATCAGGGAGGATAGCGTTCTTCTGAAAGAAATCTACCCAGCTCACCCAACACTATCTTACAACACCACACCTACCGACAAAGATCTTCATTCAGCTCTGAAACTATAAACCAGATTCATTGTCTTAGGCAGATAGATGATTACTGTCTGTCTAGTTAACAATCCTCAATTAGTGAAAAATCAATGATTGTGCACTTTCAAGGTATTTCTCACAAAGTCCTCTTTAGCATGATTACGGCCACCTTGAATTGGACACACTGAAGGCAGATAATCTTTTAAAGGAGGAAGGAATTCAAAATGGACAATATTTAAATATTTATCTGGAAATGGTGCACCCTTTAAAGTTGAATCAACTCTTGGGACAGGAGAACACACTCCAGACACCAGAGGGTGTTTAATGATGGGAAACCTCAGAACAGCTTTCAAAAAGTGCGGAACTCTTCATGTGCCTCCAGAGTGTGGCCCGAAATTATATTTCTGTGAGGCTGCAGCCTCTCGGGGCCTCTCAGTGCACTGACAGAGCTGTTTGCGGTGCAAACGTAGTCCTCTGAATGGGCCCATCTCGTCCTCCAAGAGCGAACCTGGCTTCTCAGCGTCAGCCTCTGACTCTCTCTGTAACACAGTGCCCAAGACTTCTGCAGCTGGTCCAGGGTCCTGCTGGCCCAGGGCCGCAGAACCGGGGGAGGGATTGGTCCCATTCTCACAGCACTAAAGTTCTGTCAGCAGCAGAGGCAGTGACACCACAGGTGCTGCCTGACTACCCTGAGCTTGCCCGAGCCCCTCAGCCCAGAGGCGCAGCAGCGCCCCCTGCTCACACCTCACTGCTCCTCAGAGAGGAGTCCATACCACTGCTGCCTGTGTCGCACATCTGCACCAGAGCAGGGCCACCAGCCGGGGCACCCAGAAGCTGGGAGGGCAGGCACTTTGCCAGCTCTGTCTTCTACTGCATTAAGCCTTGTTCTCATGGCTTCGTGGTTTTCCACACGCTGAGGTTAAAATTCCGGGAGTCTGAATAAAGGTAAAAACCACATACTTGACACGGTCACAATGAAGTCTGCTGTGCAAGGGGCAGCTAGCACTGGTAACCGTGAGCTGTGAGGTTTTCTCATGATGGGCACACAGGATGGCCCATGTCCTCCATGGCTTTAAGGGTCTGTGACAAACACGCCCTTCCTGGGGCTTCTCCTGACTGTGGGCCTGGGAGTCCTCAGCTCCCAGACCCCACACTCGTCTCGGAAGGGCTGGGTGCTGCATCTGGGGGAGATCACTGATGCCCGGAGTTTGCAGACTGCCGCACTGAGATTCCAGGGTAAAGACCAGAAGGGCAAAACTGCAACAAGTATGGTTCTTCAGGCAAGCAACATAGATTGTGCCAAGTGAGAATGTTACAGATATTAGAAAGAGGAAAAATTAATAGGAAACAAAATTTAGTTTGCTGAATGTTTACAGAGTTAGGTTTTTTTTTTTTTAATGGTAAATAGTACTTTCAGGATTCCGTTCTCAGCACACATGAATCAATAAAAAATCTCCCCTTGTTTGGAAGGATTATCACACTGGAGATTGTTATCATCCAACAGAGATAAGTAATAGTATGAATAATAATTTCAATTAAAAAATAATTACCTAAGTTATCATGACTTCTACTAAAAATATCTTTCTGGCATGGCTATCACTGTTTTTAGGAAATTATTAAAGAATAAAAAAGATGCAATATGTTCATCTATCTTGAGATACTATATAATATTTGAATATGAAGACTCAGAATGTGATTTGGCCAGAGAAAAGGCAGGCCCTCTTCAGAAAAGCTCAACATGATTCTGAAATTAGAGTTCAGACCTTTTACTGAAGCTGCTTCCTTAGGTTTCAAACCATCTTTAGCTTTTAATCAAAAAATCTTTTTCACTGTCAACCCAAGTGGGAAAACATCTTATCACACAGAGCTCCAAAAGCAGGCTCATGGTCTGCCAGCTAAGCCAGCAGTGTCCTTGTGGTAGCCCTGCTCTGGGAATTCATAGACAGTGAACATGCTGCACCTGCCCAGTCGCCAACTCTGCAACCTACAGCCACCTCCAGGCAACCAGCACCATCACCTGGACCTCCGAGGTCTCTCTGTGCTGCTGCAGAGGGCTGGACAGGACTGGCGGGCAGCCACCTCCCTGAGCCATTGGGCTCCAGCAGAAGGTGCTCCATGGCAGATCCCAAGCCAAGAGAGACCAGAGCCAGCGGGGAGGAGTCACCCGGGACCCCTTCTGCCCAGCAGCAGGTATATAGGCCAGCTGGGTACACTTGGGACAGGACTGGCCAATCACAGCCCCTCTCTCATTCAGGGATCCTGGGAGATCCTTCTAAGATGCAAGATCCACTCACTTAAAACACGGGCAGACCTGGGTCCTCAGGCCCAAGTGAAAGAAGAAAAGGTTTTCTCTTACCTGTCGAAGGTAATTTTGATGGAATGTCCTGGTTTTGCTTCAATGATCCATTCACAGTTTAAAGAATCTTTGTAATATCCGGGCCATCCGGGAGGCAGAATGACCCCACTGGATGCCGTCAGATGTCCACCGCATGGGGCTGTGGGGAGACACAGCACGGAGTGGTCAGGTGCCAGAGAGGACCCATGAGGTCGCAGCCTTACTCTGGGGCACTGAGGTTCTGCACACCGAGGAGGGAGCACACCCGCTCCTCTGCACCACTGCCTGCCCATGGGCAGCATTTCCACTCTGCTGGGCTGTCTCCTATGCCTCTTTATTTACATTCCCACTTTGTATTTGGGCCATTTTTGGTATTTTATGTTTTGCTAGATCAACAATTTTGAAAATATATCCATACACAATTATTTCTCCCTCATAGAAAATGTTCTATGTTTAAAGCTGTCAGGGGGCTCAGTAGAAGAGGAGCAGGCAAGAGGCTGGGAGAGGGAGGGGCAGGGGAGGGCGGGGGAGGCGACTGAGGCTCCGGGAGAGGTCCCACAGTCCAGACCCAGGACCCACACTGTATCTCCTCAGTTCTGTCAGGATAAACACTGTGCTTAAACAAAAACAAAATCTTGCATTCCCGAGACATATTGTTTGTGTAAGTTTGGATTATTCTTTTCTAATAATGGCCACTTCTCTTTTGATGTAACTTTCTTTTCTAGTTCCTTTTAATAGAATCATGCAGGGTTTGCCTTTTACTGGCAAAGAACTCATACTTGCTTTGAATTGCTGTTTCTAACATTCAATTTCTGTTAGTGTACTATTCCACAGTATTACTGAACTTTTTTCTGCCGTTTAACCTTCCTATTAAGTTCCCTTATTAACTTTCCTCTTCAATTTCCTTGTTTTTGGTAGATATGAGTTTTAATATAAACAATCCTCCCCCATGTGGATTGCAGGTATTATAGGACTTGTGGTAGGAATTTTTTGACTTAATTAAAGTGGACTTTTGATTTTTTAAAGCTATTTCTTATTATTTGGTTTGTATTGTACATTTGTATTTTACTCAGAATATGGCCAGTTCTATGGCCTGCACTTATTGTGACTTCTGCAGGTTCACTCTGTGCTCAGTTGTATAGTTGATTTTAAAAAGTGATACTGGAAAAAGAAGATAATTGTGATCTGCAAGGGAAATGAGGCTTTTTATACCCTACATGAAACAAAGTAATGCTTTAGATTGAAAAGTCACAGTGAATGTTTAAATTTGTTTACAATGTCAGTATAAGATGCAAACATTGTCATTAGTCCCCCTCACAATACATTTCCTTGCTTGGAATACAGGTACCCCAGCCATGCTGCCACTTCCTGCAGCAGCTCTGGAAGTCCTTCCTCATGAGTGTCTTCAGTTTCAGCGTCCTGGTCGCCTCGTGTTTACTTTGCACGTTCATTTTGGTTTGGAGGGACGGTCAGAATTCAGCCAGGGCTGGGTCAGGTGAATTAGGTGGGTGAGGACACAGCGCCACATCTTATGGGCTGCCTGTCCCTGGGATGGTCCTGAGCTGCGGCAGCATTCACCGTGTATCTTTTATTGTACTGATAAAGGCACTCATGAAAGGGGTCTTCCAGAACTGCCTCAGGAAGTGGCAGGAAAACTGCCGGGTCTGTCCATGCAGTTCTGGAGTTGGGTCCTGTTTCCTTGCACCGACTCCTCCTCCAACCGTGCAGCTGGTCTCATCATCAGGGTGTTTCTGTCAACCTCTCTGGAACCATCTGCACTCAGCCATCGAGTTTCTCAGGCCAGGAAACCTCTCATGGTCTTTCACCAGTCATTCTTCCCTGCTGCGGGTTTCTCTGTTACCAACCTGCAGCTGGACTTTGCGTGACCTTTCCCGGGGTGCGTGGGGCTCTTCCCTCGGTGCTGTGCGGTCTTTCCCCTCCTTCTGACTTCCTGGTTTACATCCCCAGCACAGCTTCCAGTGCTCTGTAAATAGCCCCAGTGAAGGGCAGAGTGGCGGAGCGGAGAGCAGAGGACGGTTTACAGAGAGCACATTTCTCATGAAATCATTCATGCCTCAGAGTCCACAGCCCTGTGCTTGGCTGCAGCACTGTGTACAGACAGGATTACGCTGCGCCCCTACCACACATCCTCTTTATAACCTTGGGTGTGTATTCACTTATATGCGAAGGGTTAAAATGTCCCATCCATTAGGATTTTATAAAATGTAAAATATACAAATTATACATTTAAAATATGTAATTAACATAGACAAAAATATAAATGCCACTATTATTTTCTTGCCTTCTTTGTGTCAGTTTTGTACCCAAGGCAGTGCTGACCATCAGTTTGCTTTAAGGGCTTATGAGAGGAAGCAGGGCGTCTTTCTGTCGGCCTTGCTAGAGGGGTTTCCTTGAAACAAGGATGCACGACTTTAGGAGGCCTGGGCAGGAGGGAACGGGCTGCTCCTCAGGCTCTGCAGGCCCCGTGGAGACCATGGGTTTAGTGCGGACATGGACATGCATTCCAGGTAGGAGAGCAAGCCTCAAGGTAAACGCTTAACTTCTATTTATTCAGTAACAAGAAGCCCATGTTGACTTCAGACAACTGAGAAAGCAGAAATAAACTAAGCAGGGAAAAATTTCCCAGTAACATGATTAGCACTTTGGTATGAATGACATTATTATCCTGAGATCTAATGCATTTATGTTTTTAACTTTGGAGCATTATTTAACCTGTGCTGTACCATCTCTTCTCCTTCATGATGATGCTTTGTGTGTATGTGCAATTATTTGTTATTTATTTATTCTGAAGCTCCTTAGAGTTGGTGGGAGGAACCTGCCCCATTCCAGCCTGGACCTCAGAATTCCAGCCCCCACAACTGCCAGAATAAATTTCTCTCGTCTGAGGAGCTCCCGCTGCCTTGCAGAAGCCGAGGAAGTGACGCGGTTTGCGGGTCAGGAGAGGGTGCACGGCAGAGGCAGGACCCACCTTCGCAGCGGGGCACGGCGGAGCTCCACACCACATTCCCATCCTGCAGGATGCAGGTGATGGACTCCAAGCCCTGCGTCTTCACAAACCCGTCATCGCAGTGGAAGGACACTGAGCTCCCGAGGAGAAACCTCTCACCAAAACGCCGCCCGTTTATAGGGATGCCTGGGTCGTGACACTCATTTTGCCCAAATGCTGAGAGGGAAAAGAGAAAACCGTAAAGAGGCTGATCACCACTTATGCACATTCTAAAGAGAGGAACAGAATGTACTTATATAGCCATTATTTCTCTGAATTTCAGTTATGCAGGTCCATTGTTAAAAACATTCTTATCACTGAGACATCAGCGTAGGGGCAGGTGGTGAACAGAGATGAGCACCGTCTACACAGCTCTTCGCTGTGTGGGGATCAGCACCTCCCACCCGCGGGGCACAGACACGGGCTGGAGGCCGGCTTGGCTCACGCCCTAATGACACAAGCATCCGTGTCTTTATCAGAAGGAGCAACAGTAAGCACACGGCCCTACGTTGCTGATTCACAATGCGAAATAACTACTAGGAAATTCTAAGTAGAGGATCCAAGAGGATAAGGGGCTAAATGATAAGTTGGTACCACTATGTTTACTATTATACTGCTTTGGTACCTTTAATTGCTTTTAAATACATGTTCCTATATGAAATCCATTTGGGCAATGAGGAAATTAAGGCAAGGAGAAGTTAACTCGCATCAAAACTCACTAAGTATCTCTAAGAGCTAGTACTATAACTATGGGTTCTTGATCTTTAACACTTCAGTTATGTTCACACTATGTATGGATGCACAGTCAGGAGGGTGAAGGAAGGGAGGGAGGGAGCGTGGATGGGTGGACGAATGAGTAGAAGGGAGGCTGCGCAGATGGATGGATGGAGAGATACAAGGAAGGAGGATGGACGGACGGACACGTGTTTAGGTAGCTGGAAGGGATGGAGGGAGGGAGGGAGGAAGGGCAGGGAGGAAGATGGGAAGGGGGGAAGGGAAGAAGGTGGGCAGGTAGATGGATGCACGGATGGACGGATGGATGGAAAACTAGAGAAAGAGCGAAAACACATTCGGTGCCCAACTACAGATATATCCTAGACGCTAACTTAAAACACCTAACTCACGTAGGTAAAAAGAAAATTTGCACTATTTTCTTGCCTTTCTCCACGTCAATGTTTTACACAAGGTGGGTGCTGACAGGCCACCAACTGGCTTTGGGGACTTATGAAAGCAGGTAGGACATCGTGTTTTACACACACGCTCACGCACACACTGGTTATCCAGACAATGCCAGGTCACTTTGCTATTCCTAGCACTCCACGATGATCAAGCGTGCAAGTCCTCAGCCCTGGCGCCCAGCCGCACGTCCCTGAAGCTGTCCCTGGGCCACTTACTGGTGTAGGTGATGTTGAACCCTCTGCCAGTGGTGGAGTGATCAGACTGGAACTCCAGGCGCACTATGTGCCCGCTGCTGGCCAGCTGGGCAGGCACTTCGTTGCCGGAAAATGTGCCGAGGACCGTTGTGTCAGCAATGCCATCGTCTTTGACTGCGAGGAAATCAAACTGAGGCTCCACATCAAAATCATTGAAGATGAGGTGGATCCTGCTTCCTGGCTCGGAGATGATCAGCCAGACGCAGTTCATGTTGTTGCCATACTCCTCTGGGTAATTCGGGGAGAGGATGATGCCAGAGGACGCCGTGAAGTTGAAGAAACAGGAGACTGTGGAGACAGGGAACAATGTCACGCAGCATGGCACAGACCCGGGCACTGCCGAGGGACGTGGCCCTGGGAACAGGAGGTCACCTCCAGGGCCGCAGAGCCTCAGCCACTCTACTGCAGGTGATCCCGGGCCAGTGTTTCCTCTTCTGCATTGCACAGAAACTGCTCCATTTCTAATACAGCACAACCAGCATTGTTCATACAACATGGGCACAGGTTTTGAGATTTTAAAAAGTATCCTAACAAGTTGCCTAAAAAATGTGTGCTGACATCATAATTTCCAGGTACAAATTCCACCTCCACAGGGGCTCTGACATCGTAACTGTGCACTTCTGAGTCATAGGAACAACTCAGCCTGCTCATCTGTGGTACTCGTTACCTTGCATTTCCCTTTAAAGTACATTTTCCAGGTTATGTATCTCCTATTTACAAGGAAAAGATTGATAGGAAATACCGAGCGGGCACTCACACACACAGCTGGGCTTGTTGCCTGACCACTGGTTGTTCTGCTGGCAGGTGATGACCCTCTCGCCCACCAGCTCGAAGGCGGCCTGGCACTCGAATGTGAGCGTGTCCCCGTGGAGGAAACTGCTGCCCGTCCGCTTCCCATACGCAGGGACTCCGGGGTCACCGCACCCCCCCTTTTCAATTTCTGAAAGTGGGGAAAAATAAGTGAAGCGTTAAATATATGCACTACGGCACCGTTAAGTGTGTGAGTTCACGGCGTCTTCCTGAGAGTGTAAACATAGACGACATCAGCGGTTTCCCAAAGATGCTCAATTCATGTAACAATTGCTGTACAAAAGCCAGCATGAAATCGTAATTTGAACTTCATAGAAGGTATTTGATTTATCTAATCAGATAAAGGGCTCCACAGATGTGCTGACCAGGAAAATGCTGAGATTGATGGACCACTGCCAGCCTCCGCTCTCCTTCAGCTGCTACTACGAGGCCAACACCAGTTTTGTCTTTGTCTGTATGCTGTTCACTATAAACAAGACAAATAAGACTTTTTCCCTTCCTTCTTTTTTTTTTAATTTTTAGTTTTATTTGTACCTGTTGGCAGAACATGATCAATTCCTCATGGGGAGTTGGTACATGTACATGACACAAAACGTGCAAGTCAAATAATCTATTTGGAGATGAATAAATACACTATGGTCTTCAGATAAAAAGAAAATATGCAGAAATAACTGCTTTCTACTAAACAGTGCTATTATGAAATATGGATGCAAAGGAATACACTTATGTGGCCAACTCGCTCCTGTCTCACATTTTAGCAACAAAGAACACATTCACTAAAATATGTTAACTGCTTATCTGAAAAATTATTTTGAGAGTCAGCCGCAAGTAGGCTCTTTCCTAGGTCATGGGTTTGCTAGTAAATGAGGCATAATCTGCTGTCATGGGACTCAAACTCCACAGTGGGACATAACAAGTTAGGCACTGGATGGGACTGGGACAAGGACAGAAAGCAGTCAGGACGTGGAGGCGGAGGGGCTCAGAGGCACCCTGGGCTCCCAGTGGGGCGGTCCAGGACCTGCAGCGGTGTAGTTCACAGCTGTGCAGAGCTGCCTCCTCCACTATAGCCATTCCTGGCAGGGACGTTTTGTCTGGGACAGCCTTGGGGGGCATTTTATGGTTTTGACCCACACTTGCCCCAAATTTGGGGGCACAAACAGGCATAGGTTTCAGCCATCCCATCGAGAGTCCTGTGCGCCTCAGCGGGAATCTCTGCCCCTCCTGTGTCCATGCTTTGAAGCAGTGAGGAAGGAGTGGAATGGGCAGGGCTGCTGCCCACCCAGGAACAGGCCAGCCCCCCTTCCCTCCCTCCCACACCTGCCGGATCGAGCTGTCAGCTGTGGCCCGGACCTGGACATGCTTCCCTGGAAACGGCACAGTCTGTAAGCAACTTCAGGACTGAAGTCCCTAGAGGAAAGCAGCCTTGTCAAAATACCCTTCCTCCTGAGACTTCCACTCAGGGGAGCTGAGGATGAAGGGCCCAGTGCAGGTTGAGATTACCTCCTCCCTCCTCTCGTGATACTGTTTTTTTCAGCAACTGGGAAGATTTGAATAGATGTCTACAGGGGTCTCCCTGCCGTTCCTACTGAAGTGCTTTATCATTGCTGACCACCTTGGAAGTCTCTTTTTTTTTTTTTTTTTTTTTTTGAGAAGGGTCTCACTATGTAGTTGAGACTGACCTGAACTCACTATGTAGCCCAGGCTGGTCTTGAGCTCACAGCGATCCTCCTGCCTCAGCCTCCTGAGTGCTGAGATTACAGGCGTGTGCACCACGTCCAGCCACCTTTGAAGTTTCAAAAGTAGTTTCCACTTTTAATTTTCCACATCAATTTTTCTTGAATTTTATGAAGCATTTATTTTGATCAATATTTTTATAGTTCATTTATCAACATACTCTGTTAGAGTGACACTTTATACAGGGCATTCATCTCTAATACATCTCATTTTATTTGGTACTTTATACTACACCCTGTACATGCTGATATAACAAAAGAATAATTGGATTCACTATTTATCCTCTAGTACAGCTGACCAAGCAGCTTTAGGACACATAGAAATCAAAGTAGTGGACTGGACACAGGGATTTGTCTGTGGGCACCTCCCCGGGGCTCTCTGTAGACTTGTTTGGGGCAGTGGGTCATACACAGAAGACCCACCAACCAGAACCCTGTAGTCAGGTCAGCAGAGATAGCTTGGAGGGCAGATTTCTGAGAAATTCTATGAAAAGTTTTAACTTACACTGGATGAGCTTGTAGAGTTCTTAACAATTTTTTAAAATTTATTTACAAAGAGCAACTTCACTCCCATTGAAACCACCCATCCAAGGACCACACTGGTCTTCTTGCTCCTCCTTGCTTCCCTTTGAGCACAGTGGCAGCTGAGAACTGTGCTGTCCTCCTGCTGTGCCTCCCTGGTGCCATGAGGGCCTCTGTACACAGCAGGAGAAGCTCGTGTGAATGCACCCTGCTGGGGGCTGCCCAGGCCTCTCCACTGCTTGGCATGGCTGAGCCTCGTGGCTATGCCCCTGCTATCATGTGCCTCTCCCGTCCGGCCGCTGTGCTATCTCTCCCTTCTTTATCTTCTGCCTGATCCTCTGGGAAGTGCCCAGCCATCTCGCACCCAGGAACCTGCAGCTAGACCTACATGGTAGGTGCCCTTTGGAGAGGATTCAAAGCAATGAAAATGCATTTTCCATGCTTCTCCAGGGGAATCCAGTTTCCTGTCCTTGATGCCCCACGTTTATCTACTATAGTGGATTGACTACTGGTCAACTTGTAATACCCAGTTGAACTGAATTAGTGTGGTCTGGGCGTCGAGGACCCACCTGAAGATTGTTAACAACAGCATAAAGAGAGAACTGGAAGGGAAGACCATGGCCTGTTGATTTTCTAGGCAAGGCTTGCTATGGCTGGTTTTCTTGGTGAGAATTTGGCTGTTCTTGTTGGAGGAGGAGCTCAGGGCCTTGCTGTTGCTGGGAATGGCTGCTGTTTTCAGCAGGGGAGCTCTGACCTTCACTGTAAGCATCACTTCCTGGCTCCAGTGCAGATCCCTCAGCCTGGTGGCACAGATCCTTCACCCTGCCGGTGCAGGCTTTCTAGCTTCCACTACTTGACTTTGCGCCTTCCCGGTACAGATCCTGGATACAGACAAGCATGAGACATTGCCGTGGCTCTACGCCTTTGGCTGGTCTTGTGCAGGACACTGCTGTGGGATCCAGGCCCTCGGCTGGATTCTTTGGTTCACTAGTGCATGGCTAGATCTCTTGCATGCCTCTGTATTTGAATTTTTGGGTGAATGTTGCAAAAGAGTCCTATAAGTTATGTGCTCTGCATTAAAACGATTCCCTTGCTAACCCAACAACAGCATCTACTCATTCATCTGCTGAGTAATATCTTGGTCCTTTCCAGGATTTGACATTTGTGAATAAAGCGGTAAACGCATAAATGTGCATTTTCGTGTGAATACTGTTTTGCTCCACGGGGCAGGTCAGAGGATCAGGCACCTGGAGAGAACATGTGGTGTGGTCAGTGGCCTCTCCCCATTGGTCTTGGCCTGGCCCTGTGGATGACAGGGCTGCCAGGCGCTGTGCATCTGGCGTGGTCCCTTCCCACAGACGCAGGCTCCCTGCCCTGCACACCCTCCGCACGCTTCTCCTCCTGGTCCCTGCTGTCCTTTGAAACCTCTGGCCTTTTCACTGCCTCTGTAGTGTTGTCTTTTACAAAATGGCACAATGGGAGCCATGCAGCCCTTGGGCTGATCCAGCCAGCCTCTCCATTTTGCAGTGTACAGTGCAGCCCCCCGCCATGCTGGTTTTTGCTGCTGTTGTTGCTGACATGGGCTGGCTTCGGGGTAGCTTGCTGACCATGGGCCAGGCCTTGGCACTGCAAAGAGGCAAAACCAAACCTTTTCCTGGGCCCCACCCAGCGACTTCCCCATATCTCTGCCCTGTGCCCCCCACTTCTGCCACCTCCGGCAGATCCTGCAAAAGCAAGGCCATAGTGGCCCAGCAGAGACCATCGGGCAAGGGTCTCTGTCTCATAGCACCAGTGCTCTACACCCCTGCCAGAGTGTTGGTGAAATTAGAAAAGAATTGTAATTTCTACCAAAAAAAAAAAAATTTCCAATAGAAACAAAGCCTTTCCAATACAAAATGACGCCAGTACTGTGGCAATGCTTGGTCAGTGCAGTGACTAGATACTTCACTATTTGTGTTTGCTTTTTAGAAAAATATATTTTTATTTCTTGTCAGAAAATATTGGGAGTTAAGTAATTAATGATAATAAAAATGCTGTTTTAGACAAATGTATTCCTTGGACTAGAACAAGTTGAGCATGGGAGGCTCAAAACACCAGATTTGAAAACAAAGAAGGGCATGCCTGACAGCATCAGAAAACACAGCGGCCGTCTTCATTATTTGTCAGTGTGCTGTGAGAATTGGGCCTGTGAGACACCTCTCTACGGACCTCCCCACCTCCCCATGGGGCGTTTAAGTCATCACTTCCGAGGTAGTTGTATTTTCACAGCTTGAAGGCACATGTGGTTGCTGGGATAAGGGAAGAGAGACCTGTGCGTTACAGAGAAATTCAAGTTTTATATTAGAAACCAGAAGGGGCTGCGGAGCAGGCGCCTGCGGCCCCCTTCCCACTAGGCAGACTCGCTGGGCCAGACTGAAGGTTCCCTCCATTCAGCCAACAGGAGGCGCCGCAGAGCCCTCTCAGCGGGGGGCGTCTGACCTGAAGCTGGGAAACAGCTCATTTTTATTCTAATGGGATAGGTGGCTCCTTTTCCTTTCTTCATGAAGCTAGATAGTTCATGCTTAGTTTTACCTACTTCACTAAGATAGCCACTCAACCTTTAAAACCTTTATCTCCAAAGACAGGTGTTGCATGTGTACTAAGATAGGTAGTATGTGTTCACTTCCGTTTCCTAAGGTCTGCATTACACGATTAATTTTGTTTACAAACACAGTCTTGAATGTTTCCTTTATAAAATATGTTAGTAAATGTTTACTAAGTATATTAAAGAAAAATTAACAAAGAAAAACATCCTATGGTTGTTATATTTACCAAGATAGATATCTTGAGCTTGCCTTACTGAGATTATTTTTTTATTATAATAGGCACTTGGCTC